CTTTGGGCATATCGGACTACGCCGAGAAGATCAACAGGGGAAACCCCCTTTGCCATGGACAAAAACTGAAGCAAAACTGAAGCAAAATTACCCAGACCAGCTGCCTAGCAGATCTGTCCACTCACACAGCATAGAGATACAACCAGCAAAGCAGAATGATAGCAACAGCAGAGCATACAGATACCAACAGCAGAGCATACAGATACTTGTGACTTAGGCTATACAGATACCAACATCCACAGATAGAAACACACCTAACAGCAGGCTATTATCTGACTTAGTTTTGTCTCTACTTTGGTTCGTGTGTATTTTAACTAGGGTCATGCTAAGTAAGAATTTTGATAATGAATCTATTTTCATTAAATACATCTTCAAAGTTGTTAAATCTTAGTTAATAAATAGTCAAACTGTTGTACTTTAACTGATATATACTAACCAACATGAGGAAAATAAAATGATAAAACGAGCGTGGCTTACCAAAAAGGCAATGTACGAGTTCATGGGATACCTCATCCTCTAAATTGTCCTTTGAAACCTTGCTTCCTAAGAAACTCCATGATGCTTGATGTGATCTCAAAATGCTCGTCAATCGACCCATTCATCTTCCCTATCTCTTTATTTTGTGCTTGAATTTCCTCTTTTTGTACTTGAATTTCACGTTTCTGTGCTGTAATTTCCTCTTTTTGTGACTGAATTTCCTCATTTTGCTCTTGTATTTCCATCTCTAGACGCCTCACATAGTCACTGTTAGTCGAAGCACTGGTAGTCCTGACAGAGAAGGAACGCCTCAACCCGAGTCCTTTAACATATCTCGACCTTGGCTTTAGCACCTTCACAGATAGCTCCTCCGGAGTAATTGGAACCACACCAGGTTGGGAGCAATGTTCAGCTTGGATCTTTATCATATTATCCTGTCATTTAAAAAAAAAATAGAAAAATGAATAAAGATACAATTAAAATTGCAATCATCCTAATACAAAAGGTAAATATACATACATAATTCTCTTCGCACTCCGGAGAAATCCACTGCTTTGTGACATCATTAAAGTGTGTAGATTTGTAAACACATAGCAACTCCGGCAATTTGCCCCCATTTGCAATTGTCTGATTTTTTTGTTCAACTAGTAAGTTAAATAAGAATGATGGTAGTAGAATCATCTTTAAAAAAAAAAGGAAAAAAAATTAAAGAAGACCCACCGCCTCGTGTACCCTAACTGGGAGAGATTTTGACCCACACCTATGCTTCATCTTCAATTGATTTCTATTGTCAATGTTAGCATTTGATTGCTTCTACAAGGAGCAAGTTCCAATATAAATATATATATATATATATATATTAGGAAGACAAGATAATTGTCAACAACAAATAAACATAAGAAAAGTTTACCAGCCAATTGGTATCATTCCACTTCTTGTCAATCAAGTTTTTCCATTTCTCGAGGTCACATTCAGGCGGTGGGTGGCTTCTAGCATACTCCTCTCCCTTAGCACTTTTAAGGTTCAGGTATTTTTTTCGTAGTCTGTAGGTGTGGCTGCTTAAGCTCCGTCCACACTTTGTTGCCACCGCTTTGCTAACATTTGTGGGGTCACCTTCCATGTCAAATTGATCCTAGCAACAACCACAAATCTTGTAAGTCATAATTAATTATATTACATTAATTCAATCAATTACGTAAAACTTTTACCGTTAGACGCTGAAACATAGGTGCCATAACTTCTGTGTTGACATGTTTCCACCTGCGAATGCTAAAGTCTGGCAAGTGTGTTCGGACCTCAACACCAATTTTGGAGACTAATTGAGAGGCATGATCCCCCACTGGCGCACGATACTCCTGTGGTATGGGAACTTTGAGCTTTCCATCTTTTTGAACCATTGCTTGAACCTTCAACCCGCGTGTCAAGCCACGAGGGTGTCTACTAGGCACTGTTTTAAAGACATAACATTGACTGGTTAGCAATTAATTAAAGCGAAATCATAAAAGCAATATAAGTAAAAAAAAAATTTATAGTAAGTCATAAAATAAAATGATAACATATAGAGATATACGAGGGGCATTCCCCAGGCCTTACAACACCAACAAAAAAAAACTAGAGCTATAAAAGAGAAACAAAACCAAACAGATAAACTAAACTAAATAAACTATAAAGAGAATCATCCTAAAATAAACCACACAAAAGAATGTTCATTTGCCACATGAGGAAAAAAGGGCTATGAACATTCAATAGACTAGCCAAAAACAATACAAAATACACTTGCAAAACCCTCAAGAGAGAAAAAACAAGCAAAACTAGAAAATAAACCCAAGAAAAGCCCTGCACAAACAACACTAGCAGCAGCCACACAGGTACATCTACAGCTTTCTTCCCTACTCTGAAGTTGATGCTTTTCATTTCTCAAGTTGTTTTCTCTTTTTCACAGTTATATTTGCTATCCCATTTTCTTGTTTCTTCCCTCTTTCCTACATCTGCAGCTTTTTCGTTATTCTCATTTACTGCCAATTTCTTCCCTACTCTTTGTTTCTGTTCAATCTCTCCTATACAGCTGCTGCTTTGTTCTGCAGTTGCTGCAGCTGCTGATTCTTTACCGTACTGCTATTGCTTTCTATTCACTAGTCTCCATCTCTATTTCTCCTATAGAGCACTAGTCTCCTTCTCTGTTTTGGTAAGTAGTTCAGCTACTCTCACCACAATTTCAGTACCTTGGGTGCTTCCATCAGTGGTGATGAAGTGTTCTTTACCCACAAATTGCATAATTTTTTGGGCTCAAGGTTGGCTGTGAATACCCCAGTGAGGACCTTTATGCTGGGGTATACCCTGGCCTTTATGCTGTTAAACCAATATCGCAAGCTTGGCTACACAATTTAACCTAAGATTTCACATAACCCAGATTTTAAAGGCCTACTCCCATCTAGGATCCAACACAGCAAATATGAAATTTGAGCATATCACAAGAGTGTTCTAAATTTAAGCATTTAAACAAGAACTACAACTTGGAAAAATGTATTACAGTGTAGTACAACAAAGGCAAGGCAAAAATTAAAGATTAAATTCTGGAAAATTTCAAGGTCCAGTTCTTCAGTTAGCAAAATCCTCAAGTGCATTAAGTCATTACCACCCTGTAAATCCTCATCACAAACGAAGCAACCCAACAAGCAATTCATGTAAAAAGCCCAACAATTTCTCCTGAAAAAAATTCAGTATGAGCAAAGAAATGAAATCAAAATTTTGGTCCTCAGATTCTTCAATAACTCCACAACTTCATAGACAGAGGCAGACAGATATTTTCACCCAATTAAGCACAATGGAAACTATTGAAAAGGTTTTCACTATCTTAGAAACCGCAGTAGCATGATGCCACAAAAGGACAACATTTTAATTTCTTTCCTATTTCCCCTCTTTCTCACATATTCTCAGCTACCAAACAAAGAAAATCCTTTTTTAAAAGAAAAAAACACTGCATCACCACTGGCCTTTACCCACAAATTCTGATTAAATCATGTTCCTTTAATTGACATAATTCTGATTAAATCATGTTTAACATGAAACCACGTAAAGCTTTTGTTTGTGTGAGAAAACAGAAACTCCAAAATGCCAGCCTCCCCATAACAACACTTGAAGCAAATATGAAGTGTTTTTATTTTTCCCCTAGTTCAATAAATTCTTGCACTTACAGCAGAAGTAGATAACAATCTGTTTTATTAAACATAACCTGCAATGGCAACAACAATGGCAATGAATCTAATGCCACATCTTTATCACAACCTAGTTTGAGTTTCCAGAACTTCCGGAAGGACTTCTACCACTCCTAGCCATAATCTTTTGCTTTCAATCCTTTACCACTGTAATTTTCTCTGTTTTTGTTTTTATTTTTGTTTTTGTTGTTTTTTCAAATTTGTATGAACCAAATAAAGAAAGAAGCAACTACCTAGCTTAGTCGTAATACTCAAATGTAGGTATCACGCAGGGTAAGAGAGAGTTTCATCTACCAAGTCAATTCTTTGATTTTTCTCACGTGCAATTATTGGGTACCAAAGTATTGTCACGTGGTGCCTTCTTTGATTGAGTTTGGTTTACAGGATAGGGCTTATCGCTTATCCCATTTACATTAATGGTTTGTCTAATAGTATGAAAGGTGGCAATTAATGATTGGTGACAAGTATTATCGCATAACAATGTCATGCTATACCCTTTTCTATACCCAATAATTTCTTCTTCTTCAATGTTTTTGTTCAAAGAACTAGGAATGCTTGAAAACTAAGAGCATCTCCAATAGAGATGTTAACTTTGTGTGTTATATGACAAAAAATTAAAAGTGAGACCAAAACTAAAATAAAAAATAAAAAATAAAAAATCAATCCCTATGAAACAAATTGCTTGAAATTTTTTGCACCATAGAATTATATTAAAACAGAGAATTTCTTTAGCTTAGTAAAATTCAGTATCTTACTGACACTAGATTGGGGGGCTACCTCCCTCGGTGCCTCCATATCGACATCAAGTGGCTGTGAGTGTTGGGTATCCACATTGTCATGTAAATCCCCATTTGGAACAAAATGCAACTTCCATTTTTATTTTTATTCCACTTCCATTTTTATTCAATTTCTTTTTCTATTCAATTTTCTTATTTATTTAATTTCCAAATAGATCGTTAAAGTATAGTGGTTTCTTGAATGAACCTCTACGTTTAAATTTATGCAGTTTCCATTTCTATTTTTATTCAATTTCCATCTCCGCTCAATTTCCTTTCTTATTTAATTTCCAAATTGATCGTTAAGGTATAATGGTTTCTTGAATGAGCTTCCATTTTTAATTTTATGCAACTTCCATTTGTATTTTTATTCAACTTCCATTTTTTTCAATTTTCTTTTCTATTCAATTTCCTTTTTTATTCAATTTCCAAATAGATCGATAAGGTATAGTAGTTTCATGAATGGACTTCCATGTTTAATTTTATGCAGTTTCCATTTCTATTTTAATTCAACTTCTATTTTATTAAATTTCCATCTCCATTCAATTTCCTTTTTAATTTAATTTCCAAATAGATCGTTAAGGTATAGTGGTTTCTTGAATGAATTTCCATGTTCAATTTTATGCAGTTTCCACTTTTATTTTTATTCAATTTCCATCTCCATTCAATTTCTTTTTTTTTTATTTAATTTCCAAATAGATCGTTAAGGTATAGTGGTTTCTTGAATGAACTTTCATTTTTAATTTTATGCAACTTTCATTTTTATTTTTACTCAACTTCCATTTTTATTCAATTTCCTTTTCTATTGAATTTCTTTTTTTATTTAATTTCTAAATAGATCCCTAAGGTGTAGCGGTTTTTTGAATGAACTTCCATGTTTAATTTTATGCAGTTTCCATTTCTATTTTTATTCAACTTCTATTTTTATTAAATTTCCATCTTCACTGAATTTCCTTTTCTCTTTAATTTCCAAACAGATCGTTAAGGTATAGTGGTTTCTTGAATAAATTTCCATATTTAATTTTTTGCAGTTTCCACTTCTATTTTTATTCAACTTCTATTTTTATTCAATTTCCATCTCCATTCAATTTCCCCTTTTTATTTAATTTCCAAATAGATCATTAAGGTATAGTGGTTTCTTGAATTAACTTCATTTTTAATTTTATGCAACTTCCATCTTTATTTTTATTCAACTTCCATTTTTATTCAATTCCCTTTTCTATTGAATTTCCTTTTTTATTTAATTTCCAAATAGATCGTTAAGGTATAGTGGTTCAATGAATGAACGTCCATGTTTAATTTTATGCAGTTTCCACTTCTATTTTTATTCAACTTCAATTTTTATTAAATTTCCATCTCCATTCAATTTCCTTTTTAATTTAATTTCCAAATAGATCACTAAGGTATAGTGGTTTCTGGATTGAACATCCATTTTTAATTTTATGCAACTTTCATTTTTATTTTTATTCCACTTCCATTTTTATTCAATTTCCTTTTCTATTCAATTTTCTTTTTTATTTAATTTCCAAATAGATCGTTAAGGTATAGTGGTTTCTGGATTGAACTTCC